CACAGTGGCACAGAAGTTCTCTTCGTCCCTGCAGCACAAGCGACAAGAGAGCAAGGACGCTCCTTTAGAAGGCTGCAGGACACCACACTGTCTGCACAGCTGCCTGACTAAAGCGAAGGGCTGAGACGGGGAAACCAGAGACAAGCCTGACCTGGAATTGAGCCCGTTTTCCTAGCGTTCAAGTTTCCCAGGACCATGCCTGAAGTGCATTCCTACTAGCTGCGCTGCAGAGGACTTTCCTGGGCATTTTTTCAGTCAAAAAATTCCCCAAAAGAGACGCTCCCCTCCCTGACAGAGGGAGCACGGCAGGAGTTCACACGAGTACAGTGGCAGTTCTCAGCCTCGTGCAGACACTGCTATGCACACCAAGCCACACTTCAAGCTAAACCACGTTTCAGCTTCGTTCCAAGCGTCACCCATGTGCAGACTACAACCAAGTCTCTGTAGCACCTCTAGGAGTGCTAAAGCTCAAGCAGCTGGAGGCCACTGCTCTCCAGGAGCATCTCCTGCCATCCCCCGGTGCAGCTCTCGCTTGTCACATACCCAAGGTTTAGGTAGATCGTACAGATGTCAGACACGAGCTGCTGCGGTTTGAAGTCAAACTCGCTGAAATCCTTGACTTTCAAGGCTCCCATTTTAGGGCCAACCAGGTGTTGCAGAAAATAGTTTAGCATGGAGATGATGCGCTCAGCAAGAAAAGGATGCACAAACAGGGACTTAATTTCTGCAACAGAAACCAACACCCCCCTGAGCGTCACAATAACGCAGCCCTGGGACACCTTAAAGCAAGGGCTCCTCCTCCCGTTCCCCGTTCCCCGGCCGACTCGCGCTCCGTACCCGACGTCAGGAAGGCCAGCGTGCCGATGGTTTCGTTGGACATGATGTTGTGGAAGCGCGCCAGCTGCCCGAACATCTGCAGGCTCGACTCCTTCTCTCGCCGGGCCTCCTGGGACAGGCTGTCCCACTCGCCGCGGTCCTTCTCTATCTGCTGCACCTTAATCTTGCTCAGGTACTGCCAAGACACAACGGGGCAGCGCGTGGAAGCGGCGTCTCCGCTCAGGGCTCATCTCGGACGCAGGCGCGCGCCACAGAGCGCTCCTTTACACCAACGGTAGAGAGTCTGCGAGTGCTCCAGAACCGTGGGGCTACACCCACGTCCCCTGCCACTGCTGCCAGTCTGCAGTGGCTTCTAGCATGAGGAGACGCAGCCTCCAACACCCTCTGCAGCAGCCACCAGCAGCTCTGGAGGGTGTAGTGAGACTGTCATCGCTCACCAGGGACACGCGCTCAGCTAGACCCAACGTCCCTGTAAACCCGAGGGAAAACGGTGGCCAGGAACAACGGGGACCTTTGTTAGGAGCAGGGAGCCCTTGGCCCTCCCCCAAGAGGATGTGGTAAGCACAGACTGCAGAACTTGGTTAAAGCCTCGCGTTGCCCGTGTTAGCAACAGGCACGTTTCCTCACGACTGTCCTTCATTCTCTAAAACGTGGCCTGGCCTTTTGTTCCCTTTGCTCCCAAGGGCCTGCCGAGTCCCGGGGAAAGGACAGTGCTCTTGTGAATGCTCTAGTCACAGACCTCTACATTCTTCTGCCTGAACCCCTTCTCTCAGGGTGTTTCCCCTTCAGTCTTGAACCTCTAGTGACTAGGAGCCCGGGTCACCTAGGTCACCATAAGCTGACATTCTTCTAGGATACATATTGGAGCTGGCCGTCTGAGAGAGGGAGATGCCCTTCTTACATGATGCCTCCAGCACCTTTACTGAATCCTACCTGTATTGCTTCATCCAAGAGGAAAATGGCATCGTTCATGAGCAAGTTGAGGAAGCGCAAGAAGAGAGGGGGATTCATGGCCTCGAGGTTCTCGGAGGCATAATCGGCCAAATCCTACGGGCGACAAGAGAGAAGCAGTTACGCCATGCCGCAGCACAAAGCGGAACAGCCAGAACAGCCGTGCTAGGCTCTAAGCACAACTCCTGCCTTACCTTTACGCTCTGCCGGTACGAGTCCGTGCCCCACATGTACCTCAGGATGGGGTACATGGGACGGCGGTAGTTGAACTTCTGCTCAAACTGATGTGGGTCACCTAGGCGTAAGCCCGAGGGCAGCTCCAGTGAGCAGCGGGCACAGCCGGGATTTGGAATCCCCCCCTTTGCTCGGCACGGGGCTGGGAGCCGGCCCCGCTGCCTTCGGAGAAGGGACAGGCAGCAGGCAGCGCTCCCCGGCACACGTACCTGTGAACTCGATATCCACAAAGACCTTGATGAGGGCCTCGGCCAGCTGCGCGGCGTGCTGGTACGAGCAGAACACGCGCTTGCGCTGGAACACGCTGGAGACGAGCGGGTTCGGGGCCTGCTCCAGGTGAGGCATCACGGCTTCCAGCACCTCTGCCAGCTTGGCTCGCAGATGGGGGTTCTTCATTCTGCACGATTGAGCAGCAAAACAGCTCCAGTGGGGCACGAGGGCGGCCTGGTCCCCAGGCCCCGCTGCAGGAGTCCTGCCTGCGCGCGCAGGAGCGGCCCAGCACCCCTGGGAACCCTGCCCAGCTTCTTCCCACCACAGTGCATTGCAGGTGAGCACAGAGCTTGCACAGAGCTCCACGTACCTCTCGACGTCCCCCATGAAAACAGTGACAAAGTGAAGGACGTGCTCCAGAGAGTCCGCAGAGGTCTCCAAGATGTCATCAGCAAAACGGCGCAGGAAAATGAAGAAGTCGCCCAAGTTATCGGCAAAAAACTCTAAGCAGAGACGGGCATTATTGTCATGTGGGAGGCAGAGTCTCCCTCAGCCTGTTCCCTAGCTCTCCCTGAACGCTTGCACACATTCCCTGGCCCGGATTCCAGGTCAAGTTTCTAGGCTGAATGGGTGGTACTAGAAAACCACAGACCTGAAGGATGCCCAGCCTGATAAATTGTACAAGGCAATGGATTTTCCCCATGGGTATTAGAGGTAGCTACTGCCTGCAGCTGCCTGCTGATCACAGGCACTGTTAAATAGAAAAGCACCGGGGAAGGGAGCTCCCAGGTGGCCGAGAGCACGAGGAGAACGTGACACGTAAGTCGAGAGGAAAACCACGCTCGGGAATAGGCCTACGCATGCCCAGGTAACCTTTGCTCTAGGCATCCCAACGTAGGGCTCGGCCCTCGGACGCTGGTCTGCCGTGGCGGCGAGCAGGCCCGCGGGCGGCAAAGCGCCTCACCTGGTACGTGGGCCAGCGCGCTGCTCGGCACGGCCGGCAGCGGGAACGCCAGCTCCAGGGGCTCGGTGCCGCGGTTCCCGATGGCCAGCTGCACCAGCAGAACGGCCATGGACACCTGCAGGTTGAGGCAGTTCTGCAGCATCTGCGGCTCGCTCATCGCCGTCTTCGTGGACAGGTAGATGGTCATGAGGCGTTCAAACTGCTCCCTGAGGCTGTCGGCGGCGGGGCTCGAGCTCTGCTGCGCCTCTCGCCACGCCACTTGCAGGCGGTGAAGGCTTTGGTTTATCTTGACCATCTGGTCGTGCAGCCTACCCCGAAAGAAGGCGAGGAGGAGAGCACGTGAGGCCGCGTGGCGCGAGCGCGGCCGCGTCGGCGGCACGTCAGCGCACGCTGTGTGCTCCAGAGCCGAGAAGGGCTCCTCCCGGCGCCCGCTTCCCCCCCCCTTCTCC